TTTTTTTATTTACCGCTACAATACCAAGACTTTATGGTCTACCAAAGATACACATGACTGGACTCCCACTTCTGGATATGTCAGGTTCCCCTTAATACTCTATTGCAAAATGGCTTGCAGATATTCTGGAACCTGTAAGGAAACAATTATGTACACACTCGCTTTGTGACACTTTCCAGTTCACCGATTGCATACAAAACCTGAATGTATCCAAAAAAGTATGCTGTCCTTGGACATTGAGTCACTTTTCACCAATGTCCAATTCACGGAAATGGTCCGCTTCATATGCTAATCTTAGATGACAACCATCTCAATATTGGAATATCAACAAAATATTTGAAGGAATTACTACTGAGGAAATTATTACTTTTATGTACTAAAAATGTCCCATTCCACTTCAAGGGGTGTCTGTCCCGTCAAGTTGATGGTGTTGCAATGGGAAGCCCTTTGGGATCACTTTTCGCAGACTTATTCTTGTCATACCTAGAAACCGGTACCTTGCAGCAACACATACAAGAAACGGATGTGTACCTAAGATATGTTAATGACATTTTGATTGTCTGTGAAAGTAGATCAAAAGCGGAAGACATGTTGATAAAATTCAATCCAGATCTCAATTTCACAGTAAAACACGAGAAAAACGATACTATTAAATTGCTAGACGTTTTTCTTGCCAAAATGAATGATGGCACAGTCGAAAGATCTATATTTAGAAGGTCTTCATGGATAGGATAGTACATGCATTTCAAGAGCTTTGTTCCAATCCAGTATAAAAAAAACTTAGTCAGAACACTGTTCAATAGAGCACAAAATATTTGTTCTTACAGTACTATTGAGCATGAAATAAAATCTCTGAAGGATATTTTATCTAAGAATGGATACCCTGAGAAGTTCATTAATAAATACTCTAAAGAAACTACCCCCTGCAAAACAATTCAAACAGTTCCGAAGAAACCTGTCTATATCAGTTTGCCGTTCAAAGGAGATGACGTACAGGAAGTAGTCAAACGAAGACTCGACAAAGCCATCAAGAGAACTTATTATGCTGCGAAACTTGTTATCCTTAACACCACCAAGCGAGTGCTTCAACAATCTGGGAAAGGTCAGTCGCCAATCCTCGACACTCCAAACTACGTATATCAATTTGAGTGTGTTTGTGGCAGCAAATACATAGGTCGGACGGAAAGGCGATTGTCTGCTCGCATGATGGGGCATTTGCCAAAATGGTTGAAAACAGCTGAGTGCAAAGTGCCAAAATCCTCAATAACAAAGCATCTTGTGGATTACGAACATGATATCGACGCGGTCAAGTCATTCACCACTGTCAGCAAACAAAGAAACAAGAAGATGCTTGCAATCGCAGAGGCTTGTGCAATTCGAATTTATAAATCAGCTCTCTGTATACAAAAGATGGTCGTGACTCTGAATCGACCATGGTAATACGTTTTACTTATTACTCTCTACTTGTTATTACTATTATTCTACCTCTTATTATTATTCTTGATTCATTTAAAACTATGCTTTATCAATAAGATTATCTTAACTCACTTCAAAACTATTACTATTATTATTATAACTATTACTATTGATATTAGTCTGTTTGCGATTCTCGTTATATTCCCTGATGACTAATTATTTATCTAAGTGATGTAATTGAAGCGTAATGCAATTTATCTTAATTCTGATCTCTCATACTCTCTCTCTCGCCTTATCTATTTGAACATGACCTGGAAAACAATCGCACGTGTCTTTCTGCATGACTAATTCAACGTAGTTTGTTTACTTATCAGTCTTATATCTTCCAATGTAATTTCAAAAGTATATATATCCGTGTATGTAGAGTATTCAGCTGACGAGTTCTACCGAAATTTGATGAATTCATTAAAATCCTGCTTTATTAACCTTTATTGCTTGTTTCAAATTCTTATCGGGAAATAAATGTTTTCAGTTCGATATTACACTAACTGGCCACAGAGCCAGCATTGAAGAATCCTTCTCTATCATCTACCGCGTACCAAACAAATTGACAAAAGCATCCAGTTACCAAATACTCCAAACAGCTGAGGCTATCGCCATTCGCCTGATACAACTGGTGCTCTGTGTACAGAGGAAACAGGTCCAACCACTATTACTACCCTGACCTGCTGTGGAGTCTGAAAATTCATAAATACCTTACCACATCGGCCTTTTTGTATATGGCTCTCCATCATGTACTAATAAATTGCCCCACACTCTGTCGTTACCCTCCCATTAACTAACCTTTTGTTTTCATATTTAAGCGAAGTAGTTAACCTACACACTGACGAACATGAGATGCGACCCCAAAAGTTTCCTTTCCACTCGTCCTTGACATGATAATTCATTCATTTGAAGTTTATAATCAACATGGATAGAATCTAATATGAACATGACTCATGAGAACTCATTACCACATATTAATTGTCATTCATAATCATTTACTTTGTAATATTGGTGTTCAATTTATTGCTACAATTATACATATTACCACATACATATATTTTGGACTATGATCCACTAACAATCTAATTGCAAATAACTTTTAGAATTCTGATCTAAGTGATTCGATGTTACTCTTCAAAACCACTGATGTTATCAATAACAATCCTTCTTTCATTATGGATATATGAATGTAGAATCTGATGATGAAGTTATCGAAAAGAATATTCTTTGTTCAGTAGTGAGTGTGTTGTAATCTCAGAACCTCCAACTTCGAGAGCGTTAACAAAATGTCTCGTGATTTCTCGAAGGTTATATATATAGCGGCACTTAGAAGTGGACTGTTACACTGTGATGGGGATTTGGAGTTATTTTATCAGACCAGAATCAGTGTTAAAATAGTGATAAACGCGCTGGTTATGTAAAGTATGCTGGAATAACGGATAATCCCCAGAATTTCGACACTGAGATATGTCATATTATTCTGCTGCTAACTTGCATTGTAAGGCAGCTATTAGATGTTTCATTGTGTGGTGAGAGCTGGCTGCTAGGCAAAATTGGTAGACAGCAATTTACGCCAATGTTTACTTCCCAAATCTTGGTCATGAGAAAAACGAGAACTTTGAGTGGGCGGATACGATTCGCAGATAAATGGTCTGACCTTCACGGAAGCGGCCACAAAAAGACAACAGATCAACTTTCAGAGAGAAAACAGCCAATCAGAAGACGCTGTTTCTCTGCTAATAATAACGAATAATAATGTACATAAAATATATAAACATCTTTTGATTTCCTCAATAAACGATCTGTTGCCTGGCCCTTGTTTTCTGTCGTTACAATTGTATCAAGTGAGAAAAATATTGGCATGCATTTGAGTAATAATTGTATTACATTGCGCGGAATCAGCACAGATCTCAAATGTATAATGAGTTTCAGCATAGATTGACGGTGATAACAATAAGTCTCAGAATTTTTCCGACTGATTGAAACCGGATGCTACCCTGAGTCGTACCGAGAACCAGGAGCAGTTAGGAATTACTCAGGAGGAATTTTAATCCCGCTGCGTGCAGGGAACTGAAGAGTGACTCAAATTCTCCTTAAGGGATTTAAGTCAGATCACCAAAAATCATTAACAATTCATATTCGAAAGGAAATACGCAAAGTAAAGAATATGATCTGTGCAAAGTACTTATCGAGTGTGTGGATAGCTCGAAAATACACTAGGTAGCTCAACTCGTCCCATCAAATCATCTCAGAGCATTTAAAAACGTGATATCCATAAACATCTCACAATAGTCATCAGTGAATTCACCTTATATTATTTGTTTTCAAGCACTCTGCAAATTCTCAAATGGTCCATTCCATATAATCATAGCGACTGCTTGAGAAGTGGAGAGAGGTATTTTTAATGTCTCCAGAAAGTTACTTGTTCCATACTCATAATGTGTTGCATTCAGTATTGCTTGAGATAGTGGAGACGCTTATGGACGACCATTTTAACTCAATCTGAATTTACTGGAATAGTCAAATTTTGAACTAATATGAGCGCTCCAAATGAGTTAATATTCTCCGCACGACAATTCTCTTCATCATCTTAAGTTCTATAAAACTGTTGCCTCATGTCCTTCAAAAGACACGGCAAACTTAGAAAAGGTGCTAAGAAGAATGATAATAGATTTAAGGAACTGAATGAGCCTTACAAGAACTAACCTCCAAAAACGGTTCAAGTTGCCGTAACTCCGTACACCCCACAAATGAAGAGGGGAAACTCAAAACAACTATAATGAACAGAAATACACAGTAGAAGGAGCAATTACATAAATATGGAAAGCATGGATCTAGGAGATTATGAAGAGTAAAGGTAGCTACACCACCAAGAACGATTTTTAGCCATGTCAACTTAGATGATGGATATTGATGTCTGAGCGAGATGCGTTATATATAAATGCAATATTTATCTTGTAACTCCAAAAGTACTTGTTTTGCTTAGATCAAAACAACAAATCGCTCGTCCGAAGTACGAGATATATTTCGGGATCGGGATCGTGGTGCAATGATAATTTTCTAACTAGATGGAGACCGTGCACGGACGAAAGAACGTGAAACGACAGCGTGCCAAGTGGCGAGAATGCTTGACCGTGTACATTCAGCTTAACAGATTGAGTGAAACAATGAAGGTCAGAGTCCATTATTGTAGACTAATAACTTTCGGGAATTACATATCACTAAATCACTATCAATATCCATCACTCACGATGACCCCGACCAGGCAGCCTACTATCTGTGTGGTTCAAACCAACAGTCATTGCCCTAATGGGTTGAGGCCAGGATTTCATCCGGCCACCTCTAACTATGATGTGGTTTTGTTCTCTGAGCTGGATGGTTAGTTTGCGAAGCTTTCATCACCTTACTGGGTGACATCTTCAGCGCATACTTCAATTTGAAGTATGCGCTGAAGATGTCACCCAGTAAGGTGATGAAAGCTTCGCAAACTAACCATCCAGCTCAGAGAACAAAACCACATCAAAATCATCCACCTGAGCTACAAATCTTCTCTATCATATCTACCTCTAACTCTTTTCCAACCCAGTCGCATATCAGTTAACAAAAAGACGGCGGCTTGTTGTGTGTAACACACGTACCCTAGCCATCTTAATCGATGTAGCATCACAACCTTAAGGATAGAGTTGCCCAACCTCAATATTACTCACCATAGTACATCACTTAGCACGAAATATGGGATGTTAACATCTCTGGTCAAAGACAGTTAGCCTCTTTTTAGCGATAACGATGAATATATGGTTAAGCATTTCCTAATGTGACCCAAGGGCGTCGGTGGCATAGCGGCAGAATGCTTGCCAACTACACATGCGGTCCGGGGTTCAATCCCCCCGACCGACGAGCAACTTTACCTCACTAAGCCATTACTAAGACTGGTAAAGAGGGAAGGTTGGGCACGAGGTTAGCAACCCGATCCCATAAAAAATAAACATCACTGCTACTGAAACCTTAAGCCTCTAGTTTGAAGTCCTATGTCCCACTGGGAACGTAAAGGAATAAAAAAATAATGTGACCAAAAAGTGTCTTCAGAATAATGAATTGTATCGCTAAAGGTACACAACATATTTAATACTACTTCCATGCAGTTATTCGAATAAATGCGACTTTTACTCCATTATTTTGTATCATCGCTAATATTATGCATTTGCACGAAATTCATAAGCTTTGTTATTTCGCTAGTCTAAACTACCATTTTTTTCAGGGAAGCACTCTTACTTCTTTTCTGTGGTCGCATCATTTTTCTCTCTTCGTATTTCTTCACCTTGACAATATACACGTTATAATATTCCCTCCAACTTCAAGCAAGTCTCAGGTAGCGAACTGATTGCATATTTTATTTTTAAAATTTACCAGATCCACTGCAATAATATATATTTGTGTACATCTAAAGTGTAATTCCCGCAGCTGCGTGAACTGGTAGGACGAGCGGACTTCACACATGCTGACTACTTAAAGTAAAAGGTATGAAGAAGGTGTGGTGACTTGAGTAGATTTGTTCTTGAGCGATACTGCATACGATTTTTCAGCCACAATGTAAGTCAAACTTGTAGCTCAACACGCATATTAAACATTGTGTACGTCAAACTGCATATAATCTAATAATGATAACAAAGTCACATGAAGTATGGAGCTAAGAAAATCCACAGAAACAAATTTATGCAAAAATAATGAAAGAATTTGTCAAATATTGTACTGAGTATGTCATTCTGAGTGCTTACCACTCAGAATCTGAGCATAAGATATAGTTGATATGTTTGAATTAGGCAATATATGACATTCGCGTGTAGCATTTTTATCCAACGTCTTTTGTTTATCGGGGAATTTAATAGTCCCAGCGTATTCTCGTTTAAGTGTATTAATCAAACTGCCTCGATTATCTATCGCTCCACCAGGTAGCTTAGAATAACCACGCCTAGCGATCACCATTACATGACGATTAGGATCTATACCACATACAGACGCCTCCATTCCATAAAATTCAACAATATCACAAATAAACCGGCGTTTTTTCTTATTCATTGGTGGGAAATAATGGTTAACCACTCGAGGATGATCTGTGCGATTCTTCCAAGTAACTTCTTCCACATTTGATTTCAAGAACTATAGTAAAGAAAGCAAAAGTCGACATTCGATAATTGGATAGAACCATTTACAGATTACTTGTCATGTGAATTTACCTTTCACTCGTTATTTGCTCGAATGAACCGAAACTAAAACTGACTGGTGTCCCTAACGTAAAGAGCTCGATGCGTTTTCACTATGTACATGTGACTACACATGCATGTAAACTGATAAATAAATACAAATGGATGCAAGACAAAGCTAAGCAAATCAGAGAGACAAGTTCTGTTACTTTGAACCTGTCTTGGCAATCCTAATTCTAAAACCAAGGGTTATTTTGCAAAATAATACGCCACTCATATTTTATTTTTGTAACTCTTATCCGTGATGTTAACCCCTCTAGAATATAAAATTTGAGCTGTATTGATTGAATTTTGACCTTGTATATTGTTGACTATTATATAAGTATTTGTGATAAGTACATGCGTAATCAGCATGTGTTGAGCAAATACGCTACCAAAGGATACATATGCTAACAAAATTTACAAACCATGATGATGAAAATCAAAAACACATTCTCAGCCCATCTCTTCAGAGGAAACTAATCTCTTTGTCAAAATAAGAACTTTTAAATGATTAAAATTAAAATATATCAGGACAGTGAAGCTTGAAGAATGAAAAGCACATTTTTTTAAAGTATGTGGTAGATTGTGAGTGAGGACTTACTTCAAGAACCATGCTTTTTAATTGCTTTTCAATATTTTCAACGAATACGAGATTTCGTAATGCAAATTCTTTTAAATGTTGAGGGTAGTCTGGAGGATCAAATGGAGCATCTTGTTCTGAGTTAGATGGTACAATATCACAGTTATTCACAAATCCCCTTTTCCATGTACTTGTATCAGCATAACGACCAGTGACATCTGATTTTGGATGATCAATGCATTGATCATTGCAAGCCAATAGGGGAATAGATTTCATTGAACTATCATTAGCATGGAGTGGACGAATTATTGTTGATTCCTCTGATACACTTTGTTTATGCTCAAAAAGCAAAAACTGTTTTGTGTAAACCTAGGTAGACGTTCAAAATATATAACAACATTATGCTCATGTATACACATACGTATGTAAGGATCTAAAAATATTTGTGAGTAGTTATTGTCCACTTCGTACCGACAGCAACAATAACGCCATTACTTATGACTGTGTTGTAATTTCTACTTTCACTGATGGAATTATAACAAAACTATGCTTCCATCCTCATCCACCTGTTTCTAGTCGGCCTGAAATGAACTTAATTTGTGTAAAAATGATAGAGACGTGAACACGATGTTTTTAAATATTTTACTCTTTTGCGTCCCGAGAGGAATATAGAATTTCAACCTTCAGCTTTGGAGTTTCAGTGGAAATGGGTTTTTAATTTTTACGGGGTAGGGTTGCTAAACTCGCGTCCAACTTTCCTTCTCTACCGGCTAAGAGAGTTTTAGGAGCGCATCGGCCGGTGATCGATACCCTGAGGCACATGCATGGTTGATGAGCACTCTATTCTCGCAACACCGACACACACGAATAAAATCAAGGAGCACTGGACAACTGTCTCGTTCTAGTTTGGGACTCTTCTGTGGCACGCACCCACCGGAGTTCGAACCCAAGATCTTCCGGTTACAGGGCGACCTCATAGGACATTCAGCCACTGGGATCCGTGTACATGACACATCATTTTAACGAAAGCGCTTAAGTTGTTGGCGGATCAGTAATAATCTTTTGAGTTACAGCTAATATTACAACTAAGAGGTGCATAAAGTTGTGTTATCAATATGACAAGATGGGATTGAAAGAGTTCGCGAAGTTAGGAAATTCAGTTCTACTTACAATGGGCACAAAGAACCCAACAAGAGTAAATGGTGAACAGTTACAATGACCGGTAACTTCATTGCATCACTTTCAATTCAGACTGTCAAAGTGGACGGGTTGACCTCTAAGAAAGCCGTGTGATCTACAGTCTTACTACACTACTACCCAACACTTTATGAAGCTGCACAGGTGAATATTTACATTCCTTATTACTCATAATGTACTAAAATGTAGTTATTATGAGAAATTTTGTTAGTTCGTTTTGCAAAACGATAAGTTTACGTAAATATTTACAACTAAACATCAATCGTAAATAAATTCCTTCCTTATGATAGTGAAAGAAAACCTACTGTTTTTAAGTTTAAATAACTGTTACACTCAGTCAGTTACCAGGAGAAAACTTGTTAGTCACTGGGCCATGAATCACACTTATTGTTAAAGGACGATCGAGTTACCCGAGTTGAATTGGAAAGAGTGTGGTCTAGATTCAAGACAAATTGACTAAAATTCGAGTAATTACGCAGAAAGGCCTAAATTTGCACCCTATCCAACCAATTCCATATGGAAGAACAAATTAGCAAACACTTGCACATATCACCTTTATGGAAACTTTTTTCCCCAAAACTATAGTACAATACATTCTGTAAGTGCCTTCTATAGCCCTAAAGCATTAAAAGACAGATGAATATGTGCTATGCTTTTAGTTACCTTTATTTATTTATTTATTTAATACAGACAAAAATCTGATAGACAATGCTAACACAAAACGAGAAGACTAAAAACTTAATTCACTCTTTACTATCATAAATTAGCCTAGTTGGAGAACTAATTCACTAAACCAGAAAAGTAGGAATTACCTCATGACAGTACTGACTTTCTTTGCGCTTACCACATGGGCAAACAACATCTACTAATGCAGAACAAAGTAATTGGGTTTTTGAACTACAGTTATTGGCAGCTTCCATGCAAGATAGTTTATCGACTTCATGACAGGGTAGACCACAGGGATGACCACAACCAGGACGTGGTTTCTGACATAACTGTGTGCATAAAGCACTACTGTCTGTAGAATCAAGACAAGGGCCAGCATGACACTTACGTTGACAACTATGTGAACAACCTGGAAGTGGTTTGTTGCAAGTTCGGCCACAGCTTTGAATCTCTTGAAAACATGGGACATTGAATTTTATTCCGTGTCCTGGAGTTATAGAAAAATCATGTACAAGACAACAAGAATCTAGATTTATCAGGATAACCAAAATTATTGAAAATAAGGTTTCACAAAACTCTTATTACTACGCTGGCGCAAACGTGGGGTACTTTATAGTTACAATAGTAAGTTGTCCTTATTGTGAGACACAAGTTAACTGGTAGTTTGCATACATTATACGGTGTTAGAGGATGCCTCCAAAGCCTCAGGATGGTCGGGGGTGGGTGTCTTGCGCTGCGGGTTGGCCACCCCTCCGTACACCTCTTGAAATGCTCCCATATGACCGGGCGTCTTACATAGCCTCTCCTGAGGAAGTCCTACTCACTGCCTTCACGTGGCGGAGGTGTTTTTCACCAAAGTGAGAGGGCAAAAGCGGATGCTCGGCGCTCTTCACCGGGTTGACTGTCCATTGGATGACAGTCTAGGGGAGATGGCTAAACCCTGATTCCAAACCTCCAACGACTGGCGTATGAAGCTCACCGGCAGATGTATGGACAAAGGGCTTATTGGATGCCCTGGATGACTGGCCCCATTCAAAAAGGCGAATGAACCGGACTCCGGTCACCGGCTGCCAATGGATAGTGGACTCCCTACTCCACTCCTACTGCCTTGTAGGTCACACTTGGTTGTGTAAAGGCTAGAGCTGCACTCTCAAACAAAAGGCCGAGCGATGCTGGGGACATCACTCGTACCCAATTCCCATGAAACTTCATGGTTCATGAAGCCGGCTCATCCTCCCGTAGGAGATAGCCGAAGTAAAGTAAGTAAAAGTAAGTTAGAGGATGCGAATAAACATCTAGAATTATAGTTGCATCTACTTCACTGACAATGAGATACGGTGGTGCTGTAAGTTCTACCGTCAAAGGTTATATCTACAATATTTCAGTGTTTGCACTTATGTGAAACTTAGGTTTTTCAAGTTGAAGACGCTAAGCAGGTCTGCATGTTTGATCATAGTATCCCAGTTAGACAAGTGCATTCGATGCTAATATCAGGTGGGTTGCGCTACCTAAGTGATTAGTATTACTGAAAGAACTGAGATCACAGTATGTATTTATTGCATAAATCACTTAGCTAAACTCAAAAAGAATCAGTAGAAAAGGTACAAAAACTTCAATTATGTATGCCACTTGTTTTCAGTGTCATCGCATAGAGCATAATCAAAATATGCATTAACAAATTCACTTACCTCCTGGACAATCTTTGGTCACAAGAATGGTACAAGGTGGACAGGTAGGTTCATTATGGCAGGTGTGTCTAACTGGATGATCACAGTTATGCATACGATTACACGGTTGATTACATTCAGGTCCAGTAGTACCGCATGGTTGTGGAGGATGTAGTACTGTATAACCACAACGACATACTAATTCTGAATAAATTACACCCCGCCAACAAGAATTACATGGACCTGAATGACACTGTTCTTCACAATAGTGTATTTGACAAGACAGTCGATGACCACAAACTTCGGAACATGAATGTACAGTATCCTATCGAAGACAAAAGAAAAAAATTAATGGAACAAGAAATGTCACAGAAACATTTTATGAAGGTTTGTCATATAATGAAGTTTATCCAAACTATAGTGATAATATTGCACAGTAATACTTCACCATAGATGCACTTAAACCCATGACACAGAATTTATGCTAGATGAATGTGGTACAAGTGTGATGCATGCTACTGGTAAAGATTTGTAAGTAGTATGCCGGTTGCATATTCTACGGGGAGGAGCTTGAATTGTGGAGCGACGGATTAGGTTTCAGAGAGGAGAAATGAAGATCCTTGTGAAAAAAATATGTTTTAAATATTTTTCTGTAGCGATGGGAGCGATTTTTCGAGGAAGGGACACCAGCCCCTTACCACACAACCTTCCGTCTTTTCGAGCTTTTCGGACAGATTAATAAACTAGGCGAGGTCAAACATTATAAAAGACATGACATGTGGACAGAAGAAGCAGAATAGGAATAACCTTTGCAAATAGAATTTTCATTATAAGATTTTTAATATATTTCGCCATCACTTTGCTTGCCAAATAATCTAGTCTGCTACCAAGTACCGCTGTGTTCTACTGTTGTACAAAACAAACTTAGCTTTAAATACTAAAAACCAAATCGCCTGTGTAGAACAAAATCTATGAATCTAAAATAACAAACAATAATTTGTAATTTGTACTAAACCAGTATTGTCGGAATAATAAAAGAGAAAAACTAGTGGACTCGAATACTAATAATAATGGAATATGACACAATAATCCAGTGTGAAAACAAAACCTGTTTTTCAAAAGAAGCAAAGAAGTTATGAGAGGTAGAACTTATTATATTCATATTACTCGACTGCATAAGTGATAAAACTATGCGATACTATAAAAAGAGGCTTATTCACTTAAAAAGCTGTTTAGTGGGGAATTAGTCGGGCAACAGTGTTCCTGTCTACAAACCGTGGAATATATCGTAAACCGATATCCACGCTGAAAATTCCATACTTGTACCAAAAATACAGTGTGGAATCAAGCTGTAAATCAAAAATCAAAATCAAAAAAGAGTGAAAGTGTATAAACCAGCCTGAGATTGAATTTTCTTACAAGGTAGAACTATGCACAAAAGTGAAGAAGTTTAATTTGCCCCACAAAAGTAGAGAAGAAAAATTCAAGGTAACTTTAATGAACGGAAATGTACAGAAAGAGTAATTACATGAAAAGGAAGAGGACTTAATGAATATGGTAGATTATCTGCACCACTGAGAGCGATTTCGAGCCATGTCATCAACAGACTGCATCCATCCATTACTTCTTAGAGTTTTCAGGACCCCAAACAGGCACTCTGCATCTCCCTACGTGACTCAAACTAACAGTAAAAAGCTTCGTAGATTGACGCCAGGTTTTAATTTGATCACTCCTAACTCTTTTTCAATATAATCGGATGTCAGCTGGAATTACTCAACAAAAAAGCTGATGGCTTGAAATGTGTAGTACGTGTCTTAGTCAACTCAGCTGATTCAGATCCATAACCTCATTAGTTGATTTTCCCTACTTACCTAACGCCAAACACTCACCCTTACTATTACTCTCCAATATTATACTATCTAACACCCCAAAGGTAGTGAAAATTAAGTTCCCAATTTTCTCCTTCACAAACACAGACACGAAAGCAGATAGCTGTTAGTCTTCACATCTACACCTCCTACAAATAGCGATGGCTCAAAAGACATGTCAGACTTATGTCCATGAGATTTGTACACACTTGGCTCCACTACAAGAGTCCTCACTTTAACCAATTATATAGAAAATAACACAGATTCTTTTTGGAATGAATACTTGTTAAATAATAGGTCTAATACATAAAACCTTCTTGGGACTTACATTGCAACATTTAGCTTTACATTTATGCCGACCACAAGTTAGTCGCTTTTTACACATCCGTTCGCATGTGAATTCTGATATACCTAAAAGTTAGAATGGAATTTCAAATTCATTGAATTGTTGAATTAATTTCTCAGCAATATACACGCAGACAACTTTTTATCAATTTTATGAAAGGATTGTTTCATTTTATTACAATTTCTTTAGCTAAAACTTTATGAAGCTTCCCTTGAAATTTCTCTATAATAATAATAATAATTCCGAAAAACAAATAAGAGTATAACGGGAGTTATTCATCTTATAGCATCTACCTACATAGTACTACTGCAAAATAAATTTAATACAAGATTGGAATTTATGCACCAAAGAAGACAGTTCATTTAATGAGTCATCTTAAAATGAAAGCACGAGGCATTTAGGTTACTATAGGAATGAAGAAGCACACAACTAACGGTATTTTAGCCTAATTTGAACACTAACTTTTATGATTCTCGTATCCGTCACAGTTGCCTCATTTCTAAACGTAGGTAGAGAACCGGGGTAGAAACCCATTGAATCAATATATATATATATCCAACTAGGTTGTACATTCGTGTATTTATAATAAATGGGTAGGAAAGTTCCAGAATGATTTCTGGTCAAGGGTTAGATTGATAAAATTACAATTAGGAATTAAAATGCCATAATAAACAGGGGGACGGATAAAGCTCAGACAAAGTAGCATCATAATTACTGAGAAGATTGACATATTGTGCAATTAAGGGTTAGAAATGTAGAAATAACAAAAATGGACAGGATGTTTGGATAAAAAATCTAGTGGGATCATAAGTAATGTGACGAAACGGGTATATAGTTAAGTGACAGAACATCTGGTCAATTCAGGACATTCAGCACCATTCGAAAAATCCTTCAAAATAATATACAAGATTAGATCAAACCTATCAAAGGGAGTAAAATTAAGACATCTGGGCATAGCCAAGGCACCAGCCGTCCAAAAGATCACACCCACGCTATGTACCCAAAAGAAATACGTTCAACCCTTGTCCCTGCCGTGGCCATCATAAACAGGTAATTCTTCTAATAGTGACTATCCCATTGCCTTTCTTATACAAAGTTCTTGTTTATTCATGTTATTTTAAGTTTTTCTTAATCCCTATTTACACTACCATATTTTCATATCCGAACTTCCTGTCTATTTTGTCATTTTATTATTTCTGCATATTTAATCCCTGATTGCATAAACAAATATTCGTTACATTAGTTATGATCCCACTAGATTTTTTATCCAAACATCCTGTCCATTTTTGTTATTTCTACATTTCTAACCCTTAATTGCACAATATGTCAATCTTCTCAGTAATTATGATGCTACTTTGTCTGAGCTTTATCCGTCCCCCTGTTTATTATGGCATTTTAATTCCTAATTGTAATTTTATTAATATATCCCACTATTAATTAAAAGCATGAACCTGATAAAATGTGTGAATCTGACAGTGTGATAAGTAAAGTTATTCAAGTTCATTATAAGCATATTGAGTGAAAAAGAATAACAGAATGTTTAGAAATAAAGCGTTACAAAAATATGGTACGAAAAATATAGTACCAGTGTCAACGAAAAGTGCGATTTACCATCTTGTGTTTCGGTTAGTTTAGAGAATTCATCACACGTTAGCGTCTTAGAAGTATGTCCACAACGGCATTTTAAAGAAATTGACAATTTACAGGGTGGACAAGAACCAACATGACAATATTCAGGGCAAGGGTGATCACACAGTAATTGGCGGCGTTCACATACATTTGGACATGTAGGTAGAGGGTCAGTACATGACTTTCTATCTCCATACAAAGAACCGGATGATACCTACAGTGAAAAAAAATTCCAAAAAGGTAAAAAATTTTAAAAATTGTAGTAGTCATCTTTATTCTCTTTTTAATGGCAATCACATGAATACAGAAAATTGTGTGTGTCCCCGAGTTATCAAATCATCCATAGACCAAGTGACTTTATGAGCATTTATTTCCTGTGTTCACAAAAGAACTAGTATGCATCACTCAAATGCAAATATATGATACCAATCAACAGCTCAGGTTCATCTAAGGTACACTGAATCAAATAAAACACGGCAACCGTGTTTTACTTCAGTCAAACTGAGTAATCACTTGTCAGTAGTCATACGCCCTTATTAATGTATACTCATGTGAATGTGAAAGCAGACACTTATGTTAATCTTTTTTCCTTACAGAAAGTGCATTACGTTTGCGTGTGGCCTACTGATGATTATGCAGACATTAGTCCTATTCTATCTTTTTGGTTGCTAATACTACTGTTTTAAGAACACATAAGTCAGCGAAGAGATGCCTTTTCATAACTTAACTTCAAAGCTAAACAGCTGTTTTAGGGGCGTTCATACATACAATGTTAATTGACAACAAAGTCAAAGGTTATTTTCAGTTGGTAACAAAATAAATCAAAGTGTATGAGAAGTAACAATGTGTGAAAAACAGTGAGCAGTTTCATGTGGTGGAGAGGGTAGACAACTAATTAGTTAAGTGATGGATAATCATTGGGAAATAGTTGATGGTACACAAGAGGGAAAAGAATTAAAAATGGGTTATAAAAATAAAGGCTACACAGATTTCATCAAGCACTAATTCAAGAAAGTATAATTGACACCAAGGCTATGGTAGCAAAAAAGAGGGTGAATAAAACATTTCTGAACAGAATTTTCGCGTTATCCTTATTGATTGCTAAACATTCAGCAGCATGATGATGCAAACAAAATCCTTTCGAACGGCTTGATCGTGCTTTCTATATGACTTTGAATGAAGTCTGCTGATACTGCATGACCAGAAGTAATAATATGCTCCAAAATTGAGATGTTGAAATTTATACGCTCTCCTTTTGACAACCATGTTGGTAAGTGTTCATGGGCGTGTCTAGACGATATCATGCTGGTACGACCTAATTACTTAGCTTCTACAGGAACAAGCGAATCGCTAAATGCATGTTCAAAGTATCAACCGTAGGGTCTTGTCTTTGACTCTTTCATTAACAAGAGTATGCGTAAACAAGGTGAGGCGTAGAGATGCAGTAAAAAATGTCCTTCGAATTACTCTCGATAAACGCCTTCACAGAATTTCACATTTACAATTATTTGTTTCTTCAGCACACCCAGATTTCGCGGATGTTTGTTGATGAAGGAGGTTAGATACCCATTTCTGACCGGAGTTTTTCTGAAGGATACTGATTCCTTACTCAATATATTCTTAGTGGATATGCGGAAGATTCCCTTTGCAAGGGAGGCGATGAGATTTCTTCTTCTGCCTATTGGGACAAAACTATGTTCATTCCAATTTGACTTACGGTAGATTGATCTTTGTAGATTTCCATCTGTTCGTCACTGAAAACTGTTCACCTAGGAAGAATAATGTACCTACTGTTTTGCAAAGTTAATCAGTTACTGAAAGCTGGAAAAGTGGGTAACAGCTGGTGAATGTGCGTGATTCCTTATTTATTCCAGATCAGTTAAATGGTTACCGAACCCATCTATTTCGTAAATAACGAGGAAAGTACAAGCAAAACATTAATTAATGTACTAATCACAGGTATACAACAAATATATAGACAGTCCAGGCAAATGATTAGATAAACAATTAAACGTAGCTCAATACCCACTAGTTATTATTCTAATTTAAAACCTACCAATACAACAGGCTAGTCACAACCAGCCAGAAAGTGGAAATGCAGAATAACAATTCTACTTCCTCATATAAATATATTCTTACAATCGAAGGAAATAAGCTTATAAAGTTATCTAGCCAGACATAATCACACTATTCACAAATTCAAAACAATGATACTGTTTTCGATAAGAGACGACACATCCTCTATATGTAGAACAGAACCACAGATGAACAGTCAAAACACCTCTTTTTCTACTTAATAATATCAACTAATTATCAAATAGACCTGAGGAACTTAGATTTGATGTTTATTGGGGGTAAAATCAACAAGGCGACCATATAGGAATTCATATTCCCTACGGGATGCGAATTTATGTTATTCAGTGCTCAAGTCAGAAACCCTACAACCGGCTTATTCAAGGCCTCCTTAACACCCTAGAAGACTGAAATTGACCGACAGGAATGTAATAACTGAAACTATGTGAATCGATTTGGCCAAGTACTGTGGTATGTATGGTATGTGTTAATATTAGGTGTTGAAAAAGTCAATAGATTTGTTGATGAATACTAACAAAGATAACAACTAACCACAACTATACTGGCTACAAGTGTGCGACTAATTAACAATGATACAGTTTACCTTGTTATCCATATAAAATGAATCACAATGTTAACTAAACAAAATAGTTTGTGATAAGTGAAAAAGTTTTAAGAAATTCAAGAAATGACACAATCATCACACAATGCATCAGTATAAAACAAGAGTAACCAACCAATTTAGAAAGAGGCGTTTTCCCACATGGACAATTTAAGCACCATTTCGGATCTAATAAACATGGTGGACATTTTCCAGAATGACAGTAGTTCGTACATTTATGGAAATTACAGTTTAAGAGACTGTTGCAAGGTTGATGACATGAAAATGTTGAACCGAGTTTTGCTAATAATGCATCAGGTGGGAAAACTTGAACATCAACCCATTGTTCTGTTACAGATGAATCATTATCAATAATATCATCGCCTAGTGGTATACAACTTCGTTTCATCATATCAGTTAATTTAGTAAAATCCATGCTCTTCTGAAGTTCTACAGCTGCTGCACGTAAAATCTCCAAATCTTCATGAGAAAAAATGCATTGTTTGGCTTCACGACTGTTACACATTAACTTTCGTTCAACTTGACCGCAAAAACAAGCTGTAAAGATGAAGACAAAAACCATATTTATTCGATTGCATTATATAATACAGGAAAAATATTTTACGTGAAAAATGACTTAGAAAGCATTGCTAAACTAAAACCTGTGAAGCTACCTAAACGTATGTGTGCTGATAGCAAGATGTAGAATAAACGCTTAGAGGGTCATTTTCATATCACCAAAGATTAAACACTACCCTTGCACCGCCTTGTACGGCCGAGGGTGGGTAGACTTCGGTCTTCCTCTCGAAATGCTCTCACTTGGCCACGCGTTCATAGTCTTTGCCACGTTAGTCCTATTCACTATCTTCATACGGCTAAGGCATTTTCACACGAGTGAAATGGCGAATGAGAACGCCTGGCTCTTACAACCCGACTAAAGGACACTCAGGTCTACCTAGGGGAGTTTTGGAAACCGCGACTACAAACCTGTGGTGTACATTAGATCCAAAATCTGAAAGATAGAATGGAGTACGAACCTGCTTTGGACACCACAAACAATCCGAATGTAGCTCATGTTGATAGTCCAGTGGCTTGTGGGCCAGACTTCAAGTTAAAAGCTCCGGATATGGCCTTCTGAGACAAACACCTGTTTAAATCTAAGCATTTAAGCAGTATCCCAGATCACACGCAAACTTTAAGAATTTGTGTGGCGCACCTATTGGTGAACACGGTGTGCCAAATTCGTGTTCGAATAAATACATGATAAATAATGGTGAAACAAGCAGATAATTTAAACCTAAATGCATATGCCTAATGTTTAACAAACGTTGATAAGAGCCAACTGTTCAATAATAAACACCGACTCAATAAAATCTGTATACAAAACTAATAATAAAGAAGTAGTTTTTTTTAAATAAATACCGAGGAACTGATTTCGGGATTATACAACTACATTTTATGCAAATATGCGTGAGTATACTAATATTTGTGTAATTTGAATAAGCCACTTCAAATTTCCTTGATCGTCAACCAAACAATTGCCTCATTTTATGACATTCACAATAAGATCGGTTATTAAAAATCTACTACAAAAAAGAGACGAACAGATATCATCAACACAAAATGTAAATAAGTTCACTGATAATAATGATGTGAGGTATAAAGAGGCTTCACAAAGTGGCAATGAAGATGAATGTCTTACAGTACTGTTAATTTCAAACACTTTTTTGAGTCATCTGTCCTGTTTTTATGCTTTCGGCATACTCTGATAATGCAGGTGTATAATTCTCTTAATCTATATGTGAATTAGTACCGAAGATTAACGTCAAAACTCTTTCAGGGAAATTCGAAACTGATAAAGTAGTAGAATTACTGGAGTATGGACAGTCTCTGTCATGTCGATACTCAGTTCTCTCATACTTTTGAATTACATTTAAGTATGTAGTGCACCTGAATGCTTTTGAATTCTTGGAAACTTCTGTGGCTTCTTTTTATGTCCACTGCAGTTGTTCCTTTTCATTTGTAATGCTCGGGTGCTGGTAGATGAGTTAAATGTCATTCCTGGGTTGTTGAGTTGGTCGAACGTTCAATAGGCAATAAACATCAACCCTTTAGAATCTTCCTATTATTTTTGCCGTAATTGGTATTGGCAATTTACGGATTGTGTTCATAACAAAGTTTACATTGATATATGTTATAGCTGCCTGATTCTAACTAGGCTTTTGATAAATTTCAACCTTTACATTTTGCAATACAAAATAGAATCTCTGATGCACTGGAAGGCATTTGTACTTCACCGTTTTCTCTAAGTAGACAAAGGCGATAATCAGCTCACTGACCTGGATGTCAGCGAACTGGAATTTACCAATCACAGGGCGTGTGAATTGCCTGCATCTGCATAGGCAATCATCAATCTAGTGTAAGCAAGTGACACAGTTTCTTTGATTGGTGTAGACTTTCAGCATGCTGACAACACAGCTGAATATGGCTTTTATTCACTGTCTCAAAAGTGAATCATCCAATCGGATAGAATAATCTCCTCCACAGTTTTCAACACAAATATTTGAATCTTAACATAGATGGGTGCTACTTTTATTTGGCCTTAACAACAGTTAACACTGAAGCATAATGCGAAACTTTCAACTCTGTCCAACAGAATAACTCTTTTTGTATGCCGATAGTGGAGTAAAGTGTTCTTCGAAGAGAGAGTTCTTCATTGTTCAGATAACTCATTTAGATAATCATTCTGAGTGGTTTTACAACTTATATAGGCATTTGTCAAACATCAAACACACAGCATCAGTATGAATGGCAGCGATTATTCTTCATCACCATTGTCATTGTCTTTACTCTGTGTGGCTGATCTTCTAAAAGCTTAACACTTAAAGAATAAAACAAACGCACTCTTATTATGAATAAATCAATTAACTTGGTATTAATAGTCCTAGTCAGAAATTATGAACTGGTGGATAGGGGATTCCAGTGGCTGGATGGTCTACCAGCTCCTCTTGTAATCAGTAGGCCCTAGGTTTGAAACCCAATAGATGTGTGCTGATGAAGGGTCCCGAACCGGGACGAAACACATCCAGTATTGTGATATCTAGTACTTCCTGGTTTTCCAATAGTTCTTTAAATGATGTCATGTCGTGACCAGACCTGTAATCAGTCAAATCTTTGCAAACAAATAATTGATAATAGATTCTTAGTCATTTTTCCAACCAGTTACTACCTAAAGGTGTCGATTTTAAAAGATACGTCACCACCAGCACAGTCTTTCACTGAAAAAAGATTCTATATCACACCATGATTTTGAAAACGACAAGAAAACGCCAAAGGTGTATTTACAGGTGATTAAAATGATAACTACAAAACAGAATATATCCAAAGTACAAATGATATGCCTATCGGTTATGGATTTTTTTTTAATGTACATTCCCTTTCACTTGAGTAACCTTGTGCAGATTTATACACTCATTTATATATGAGTCATAAATATTGTGTGAGAACCCCATAGCACCACCTGGTTGTTCACACTTCAGAAATATAGATTGAGATTTTAACCTACTGATCCTCGCTCATTAATTTTAACCTTCTGAGTCAAATAAAGACCTTGGATTGATTCACAGTTCTACATAACTGATATTCAGATCCAGCTTTATTAAGCAGAATAACTGTTATTATCAAATGAAAAAAACAACAACGGTAAAACAAATCGATTTACTTGTTTGTATTTTCCAACGACAAGGTGAACAAGGTCCATAATGACAACGTTCCAGGCACACATGGACACCCGCTGCACAGAGAGATGAAGGAAGTTGACGCCCACATATCTGTCCACAAGGTGGGGGACTAGGATCACCACAAATACCAGAACGTTGAAACTTTCCACAAGGACAACTCAAAGTGACAGAATGCAGACATGGAGGACACGGACCTGGATGACATAATCTATAAAAACAAACATATTACTGACGTGATAAGTGCTCATGTTTAGGACATATTTTTACACTCGGGCGTGAAAAATTAGAATTTTTACGCAGCTGTAAAAACTGAACACAATCAACTAACTAACTACACAGCCACTTTTGTTTCTTTTTACCATTACATCTAAAAGTTGGTAAGACAACTAAATAATCGAATTGGTTAAACGAATAACAGGAGAATTAACATGTAGGAGGATTAGTAGCATTTCAGCGTTTTCAAACATTTAAGCTAAAACTGGAAGACTGAACTGTTATTTCGTTTGCTAATTGAATTCGAATACATTTATGGTTAATTAACACTTTCTTCTATCCCAGCAAGAGACCGTGAACAGTGGCGCGTGACAAAGGCGAGAGACCGAAAAAGCATCGGCGATAGGCAACACTAGGCAACTCTTTAGACTCATCAGGGAAACGGGTGGAAGAAGACAAATCATAAGTGAGACTCTTTCTGAGAAAAATGGCTCCTTAATTAGCTCTCAGGATAGACGCCTTGCACTCTGGGGAGAACACTTTGAGGAACAATTTAACTTGTCTACAGGCACACTAAACCTCCCCGCCATCCAGCAAACACCCGAATGGGATATAGACACTGGTCCGCCGTCTGTAAGTGAGTTCAAAAAGGCTATCAGTAATTTGAAACGAGGCAAAGCGGCAGGACCCGACGGAATTATTACAGAGGTGTTTAAATATGGGGGTGACATACTAGTTTGTAGATTAACTGAGGTACTAGGCAAAGTCTGGGAATCAGAGACAGTACCATCAGACTGGGGTAAGTCACTTATTATACCGATATTCAAGAAGGGAAACAAGTCCTCGTGTGATAATCATAGGGGGATCAGCCTAACGAACATAGTCTCTAAAATCCTAGGCTCAGTAATCATGCATAGACTAAGCAGAACTCGGGAGGAACAGACAAGGGAAAATCAAGCAGGCTTTAGACCAGGTAGAGGGTGCATAGATCATATCTTCACTCTTCGACAGATTCTAGAACATAGACACACTTTTCGGCGTCCAACAATTGTCATATTTCTTGACTTGAAGGCGGCCTTCGACTCCGTGGATCGAAAGGTACTATGGCAATGTCTGACTGTGAAGGGAGTGCCAAGAAAGTACATTGCACTAATCAAGGCACTCTATTCAAACTCACGTAGTCGTGTAAGGGCTTATGGGGAATTGTCATCTGAATTGGTAACAACCAGTGGTGTCCGACAGGGATGTCCACTTTCCCCATTTCTGTTTAACTTCATCATAGATATGCTAATGGAAGTATCCTTAACTGAACGTAACGACTTAGGAATCGACTTGTTACCAGGGAATAGTCTTATGGACTTAGAATATGCAGATGACATAGTCCTGTTAGGGGAGGATGCTGACAAAATGCAGAGTCTTCTGAACACCTTGAGCAGCAATCTTCGTATGTTTGGCATGCGATTCGCCCCTACAAAATGTAAGATGCTGCTACAGGACTGGACCACGTCAACTCCTAACTTAGTGATAGGGAGTGAAGTGATAGAACATGTTGACCACTTCACCTATTTGGGAAGTTGTATTAGCACCAACGGACTGATTGGCGATGAAATCTCAGCACGGATCCGAAAAGCTCGAGCTGCTTTCGCTGACTTACACCATCTCTGGCGTAGGCGTGACATCCGGTTATCAACCAAGGGACGTGTGTACTGCTCATCAGTTCGCTCCGTCCTTCTCTATGGCTCTGAAACATGGCCAATACGCGTTGAAGACATGAAAAGGTTGACTGCTTTCGATCATAGATGTCTGCGATCTCTTTCTCACGTTAGGTGGTTTAATAAGGTAAGTAATGTTGACGTTAGGCGTAGAGTGTTGGGCAAAGAGGGAAAATCAATCGACGAGGCTATAAAGTTACATAGATTGAGATGGCTAGGTCACGTGCTGCGCATGCCTAACCATCGCCTCCCCCGAAGAGCATTACTAGCTGATACAGGTGCAGGTTGGAAGAGAGTAAGTGGTGGCCAAACAAAAACATGGCCTCATCAATCCATGAAATCCTTGACAGTTAAACTGAGTAAGGTAGGGAGATGCAGACTTCCGGGTTGGGACCCTCGGGACTCTAGGAATCAATGGTTGGAGACAATAGGTGACATGGCTCAAAATCGTTGTCAATGGCGCAGATGTATTCAGTTTCTGTAATCTTTCATATTTCTTTCTACCATTACCCATTCTGTTTCACTCTTATACTTGTCAAAATCTATTAATTCTCTCCACTCATCTTCTTGTCTACCACTGTGTGCTATTTGGAACGTGGCAACTCGAACTGCTGCACTTCGGTGCCAAGTTCTATGTTGAATCCAGACAGACAGACAGACAGACAGAGCAAGAGACAAAAGTATAGCATTCCTTGATGTTATGGTCTATTGGAATGTCTATTATCTGTTTTTAAAACATCATTTACTCGTGGATAGAATACACAACGAAAGTCATTCAGGAAATACACGTTTAAACTAGAACACTGTAGTATCTTAAACAGTGCACCTAAGATTAATATATTATTTCAGGTTTAGTGTTTTGTTTCAAGAAATGCAGTAATTAATAACTTTAACGGTGTTTAAAATTATGTAGTAGCTACTGGGAAAATTTGTCCAGTAAAGAACGCTAAAATGCTTAAGTGTTGAGACAGGAATCTTTTCAACCAATATGAGTACTCTTTACATACAAATGCTCTATCACATGTGGCTAAGGTGAAACAGTGTGATATCAGAAAACTGCCTACAAAGGCTTACGGTAGTATACTTCCAAAATTTTCATTCATCAGGCAGTAAATGGTCACACGATGAAATCAGTACACGAGACTCATTTATTTGTTACATACCCTTTTCATCTTTTAAAGTTCTTCAAAACTAACTGACTGCCATTTTACACCGTTAATATGAAGTCTCACATAGTCTGTGCAATTCCTACTTTTCCCTATAATCATTGCCAACAATCTAAGTCAGAGGAATACCTTTAACACTTACTTAAAACCATTTCAACAACATTACACTGGAAATTTAGGGATCCAAACCCTATGCTGTACCTCCAGAACAAGCACACGAAACCCAAGATTGGGTATTCATTTAATTTCATCCAATAGACAAGGCACCAAGAGACCCTTTGACCAGTTCTCATGCATGGAATAGAGTTGCCAAGCCCCAGATTAGAAACGGTTTAAACCAAATGGATCCCAAGAGACAGTTGTTTGAGTATTATTCACCTTAATGCGTCCGTAGTCTACGATTAAGCACCAATTCAGATGGATTCTTGAGAAATATGAAGAACAAGCTTTGTAAAAAGATGCAAAGATAGCTGTAGACAGCCATACTTTGCAGAAGCAGGACAGTTAACATGGGATAGTAATGCTCAAATGGAGAAAGTGACTAAATCAGAAAAGCGTATGGACAGCATCTACGGAACCCGATGCCAACTAACTGACAACGGTGATCATCTCTTACAGTTTAGTCACGACAATCATTCGCATTTAATCAGTGCTAACTTCAAGAACAGTTTCTGTTAGTAATCGCTGACATCAAGTCAACGAAGGACACAAAGAAATTATTTCTCTAGAAGTCATCGGCAGGAAGAATCGAAAGAAGAATGTCACATGTTTTAGAAGCTCTGAATGAAACCTGATAATGCATGCAGCTAACTGAACAAAAAACAAGTGTATAGTAAAGTCTTATGTGTCCAGCTCATCACTGAGAGCAGTAGATGCATGTGTGTTACGAAGTTGACCACACACATATCTCAGCACCGAAGAAATAATCACTGTGAAGGCATGTGCCGCCATATCTAGCTGTCTGAAAAATTAGAAGTTGGAGACAGCTGATAAGCCCTCTGTAGAGCTTACTTTGAGAAGGCAAATATCTAGAGATGACTAACACAACAAGGACTCCCGAAAGATCCGAAAATAATCAGAATCGATAGAGACAGAAAAAGCACTAAGAATCGATAATTCACGTTGATTATTCAAGCTCATTATACAGACAAACAAAAGGAAACTAAGATGATATCCAAGGAAAATACAAGTTTAATAGCACATCCGGAGAGAGGTCTAAAATGTTATACAGAATACTGAATTCAACTGTCACCAACTTTTTCGTAAATACTCTCGAGAGCATTTATTTTTTATATGTGATTACCTAGTGTTGCAACATTTCATTTCTGTGATATTTCAGAGTGTGACAAACTAAATTAATGCTTGTCCTTTTAAAGTTCTACTGTGATTTAGGCAGTTAGTCGGCAGAAACAATATTTTCTTATATTGGCGTAGTCAGGTACACAAAAGCAATTATAACGTGCTCTATTGATCATTCACTATAATTCACTGATCGTAGCGGATACACTGTTACGCTTTACAATACGCGTAAAAAATGGTAAGCAGGCGTTGAAAAACGAACGTCACTAGTCGAAGGTATGTGGCCACTATACTAAGTGGCGTCACAGTTACTTTAGACCGTTAATGAACTGTTATTCGGTATTAGATGGTACAGGGAACTAATGAGTCTCTTATCAGTATCGATATCATAAACAACTTCTTTGTTAAAGCGTGAGAATATAGCATATTGCTGTAGGCTTTGACTTCCAGCCAGATGGTTTCAGATCTGAATCACGTTAAGCCTACCTAAATTTGGGCGACTAAGTAGTATTATTAATCGCCACGCGAAAAAATGTGACTAACAATCTGGTAAGTATAACATTTCCTAAAGACAAGGTTCTAACCAACTAGTGTTCAGGAAAAATACGAGAGGTTTTTGAAGACATTTTCTTATAAATGAATGCTTTTTCCTTACAGCTAAAGCGAAGTGCAATATACTTAGATTAAAGATGAAAAAGCAAAATATTGTAAATTTATACCTGCTAGGAACATTAAACTAGACAAATGTTCACCAAACTGTGTAAGGTATATTCACCTTTAATTTCTGTTAATCAACCGTAGAAAGTGTGTCATAAAACTTCACTATGATATAATCAGCACGGGCAAGTTACGATTTCAAGAACATACCCTGAGGTTTTACTCAATGACTAACCCAGGTTATACAATAATGTTAAAAAGTGACGATAACTTGAGAAACATGAAATACTAACAAAAATTTAATGTCAGGAGACAGAATAGTCGAAAAAAGTCTAGCGATATGCGAGAATGCATCAATCATTATGTACGGTCGTTTACATAAAATATAAGTCGTTATAATAAAGGTTTTTGTATTTCCCAATGAATGAAAAACAAAACGATGTTGTTTTTACTGACGTTTCGCTATTTAGTGGTAATAGCTTTATCAAAGTATTATTAACAAAATATAGGTTCCTGAAAAATTTAGAAACTATCAACATCGAAAAAAGATAGTCGGTTGATTGATATAATATGGGTTCGGGAATTTAATAACAGTCTTAATATTCAACGAGCTAGTTAAGTTCTCACGAAAAGTTTTTAAAATCAAATGACATTTTTCGTTCTTCGCTTCTCTATGTATATTTACCTCTCAGAAAAGCGAATTACATAATACTAGAAGAAACAGCTAACAGCATAACGACCTATTCAAAGCAATCTACACTTGAATACACAGCTCACACCAATAATTACAGATGTTTCCAATTACCCTTGATAAAATTTATTCTTTTAATTCAGTGGTGAAAGCACGTATTGTCAGACGTTAGAAAAACACATCGTTTGTCGCTTCCCACATCACAATCCATAACTGTAATTTATTGAGAAAAAAGAGGATAATGAAAGTATAAATATCCTTAAACTTACTCTGTACAGCGATGGGGACACCGATAATCAGCCACTGAATTGCTAGGTAAATTATGTGCAGAAAGTAAACGCTTCACTTTATTGCAAAGCTGGTCACAACCATGTGGTACTGTATTACGGGCGGGATGAAACTCAGGATTTCGGGTGCGTCCACAAAAGCACTGGTAGAAAAGTAAGTAAAATGGTGTTTCATAATCTGTTTGACACGATGGACAGTGCCAACAAGGAGTTGGAGTCGATACGGCACTATTCACTTGAGATTTTGCCCATGACTTAATACATGACAGGTGATAAATATGATAACACGTAGCGCATGACCACACAGAATCCTTTATACGAATCTTTGAAATGCATATCATACATTCATACGTGCTATTGCGCAATCCATCAATAAGGTTATCTGATCCACAGATTTAATAAGTTAGAAAACAAAAACATTAGTGAAAAGATTAGGAAAGCCATCTGTGTGGCTATAAAGGCTAAATGTTAAATTACTAGACTCTTGCTAAAGGTAATCCATAATTGAAGAGATTTATGACAAGTTAGGTTAATATGACTGAGATAAATAAGACTACATTAGATGAATTCTACGAGTGAGTAGTGTCATCACTACTATTCTTCCACAGCCGTGGAGGAATTTATTAAAAACAGACAGAAAGCAAGGATATAGGTGAGGATGTAAAGGCTGTTGTCCATAAACAGTATGTTTTTACGTTGTAACTATATAAGAACAATGATCGTCGAACATCAAGTACAAAATTAAACCTGCCTACAATATGAAGTAATATGTGATCTACTTGGATTATTAGCGTCAATAATACAATAATACATAAACGAGGCAGGAAAAATTAGTTATATATATATATATATATATATATATATACTTTTAAATTGTGGAGGCTTACGGCAACTACCACCATTGACAGTTAGAGCTATATGACCCACCTAATTATCAGAGATAACCTGATCCACCGACCTTCGGAACACTAGATGTTCACGCTTCAATCAGCAAAATATGGGTTGAAGCCAGCAGACAGGAATTTACCAGCCTTCATATTTTATGAAGATGTTTACTCATGTTTGTATTTCCGCTTTGTTTTACCAAGGTATGAGTAAAGTGTAGACACACTAGGATTCATTTTATGTACCATTTAAACATTCACGAAGAATAAGCTACACAACAAACTCAAATTCTCAAGAAATTAGCTGCGCAGAACAGATATTTTATGTCCAAGGTGACTGGCTACATTTGTTGCGTGAAGACTGATGATATTACTCGGTCGCCAAATGACAGATCATGAGTGGGACCAACTGGCTGAAAGTCAAATCCTACGGGCAATAGTAAACATTTTCACACTCCAGAGGATGTAACAGCAAGAGAAAGAAATTTTTCAGAAGCTCAAGAGTCTAACGTGAGCGTTTGAAGGCTATGGGTAACTTTTACATGTTTTCATGATGTTTTACAATCATCTATATTTCACGTGTACTTAAAATTCAATTATTACCAAGAAATATACATCAAAAACAAAGAAACTGAAGTGTATTAACACTTGCAGACAGCAGTTAAGATTTAATATATTAAAACTTTTGGCTATAAGACAATCACTCACTCCTTAAATTATCCTGAAATTTAGTTCCGGTTGGCAACATCGGAGCACTGATTGAAATTTTGGTGATAGAGCTTGAGTTATCACTGTCCGAAGATCCGTCATGAGCTGGGAATACAGATCCTTCGAAGTGATCTATACTAGTTGTGGATTGTGGAACCGACTCAGCAACTGGGTGACTTCTGCTATTAGAATCCCCGACAAACGAGGTGGAAGAGCCACGATTACTTATACACCGACTATTCGTCCTAAATGGGCGGCCTCGACGGCCATTTGTTCTATATCTATTATAATAATCCGAACGATTATTATAATAGTTTACTGAAGGACGTGTATTCATATTATTCCCCGTCGACAAACCTACTGAATAACGAGATCCGCGACGAAAGGTTCCACCTGTTCGTGAATTAAATCTATTACTAGAAGGTAACTGCTCATTATTTCTGTTATCATAGTTCATTCTAAAAACATTTTGAAGAGAATAAAAAGGAACTGCTTATATTATTTTCTGTGCATACCATAATTGAGAAATAACATTTTAATTAGATGAAATTCCATCAAACCTCCTGCTTTTTGTAATTTTAGAAGTCACAATTATTTAAACAAGCTATTTTACTCTAACATGAAGCGCAAAACATTCAGAGAAAAAATTATTCAACGGACTCAGTACGTGTTATATTTGTGTATACATAGTATTTAATAGACTTTTCCGTGCAAAATTAGAAAGATAGTAAGCGAACCGATTGCGTTTATAGATTTAAAACGATACGGGACTTAATGCCCATCACAACCGTTTCTGCCAAGGGAAAGTACGCACCACCACTAAAATAGCCACCACAAATGTTTCTTATAGACAGCCAAAAGGATAGGGCTACAAAACTCCACCAGTTCGTCGACTCAGCGTTGCTATACTTTGTAAACTAGGTAAGGACATGGGTGTGACCCTCGTTGGCTTAGTTTTCTACCGTATGGTGCTGCACCATATGCTGATTTTTAAATGAGATGCTTTCCTAAAATATCCTGTCTGTCTGTCTGTCTGGATTCAACATAGAACTTGGCACCGAAGTGCAGCAGTTCGAGTTGCCACCTTCCAAATAGCACACAGAGGTAGACAAGAAGATGAGTGAAGAGAATTTATAGAGTTTGACAGATATAAGAGTGAAACAGAATGGGTAATGGTAGAAAGGAATATGAAAGATTACAGAGATTGAATACATCTGCGCCATTGACAACGATTTTGAGCCATGTCACCTATTGTCTCCAGCCATTGATTCCTAGAGTCCCGAGGGCCCCAACCCGGGAGTCTGCATCTCCCTACCTGACTCAGTTTAACTGTCAAGGATTTCATGGATTGATGCCATGTTTTTGTTTGGCCACCACTGGCTCTTTTCCAACCTGAACCTATATCAGCTAACAATGCCCGTCGGGGGAGGCGGTGGTTAGGCATGCGCACCACGTGACCTAGCCATCTTAGTCTATGTAACTTTATAACCTCGTCGATTGATTTTCCCTCTTTGCCCAACACTCTACGCCTAACGTCAACATTACTTATCTTGTGAAACCACCTAACGTGAGACAGAGATCGCAGACATCTATGATCGAAAGCAGTCAACCTTTTCATGTCTTCAACGCGTATTGGCCATGTTTCAGAGCCATAGAGAAGGACGGAGCGAACTGATGAGCAGTACACACGTCCCTTGGTTGATAACCGGATGTCACGCCTACGCCAGAGATGGTGTAAGTCAGCGAAAGCAGCTCGAGCTTTTCGGATCCGTGCTGAGATTTCATCGCCAATCAGTCCGTTGGTGCTAATACAACTTCCCAAGTAGGTGAAGTGGTCAACATGTTCTATCACTTCACTCCCTATCACTAAGTTAGGAGTTGACGTGTCCAGTCCTGTAGCAGCATCTTACATTTTGTAGGGGCGAATCGCATGCCAAACATACGAAGATTGCTGCTCAAGGTGTTCAGAAGACTCTGCATTTTGTCAGCATCCTCCCCTAACAGGACTATGTCATCTGCATATTCTAAGTCCATAAGATTATTCCCTGGTAACAAGTCGATTCCTAAGTCACTACGTTCAGTTAAGGATACTTCCATTAGCATATCTATGATGAAGTTAAACAGAAATGGGGAAAGTGGACATCCCTGTCGGACACCACTGGTTGTTACCAATTCAGATGACAATTCCCCATAAGCCCTTACACGACTACGTGAGTTTGAATAGAGTGCCTTGATTAGTGCAATGTACTTTCTTGGCACTCCCTTCACAGTCAGACATTGCCATAGTACCTTTCGGTCCACGGAGTCGAAGGCCGCCTTCAAGTCAAGAAATATGACAATTGTTGGACGCCGAAAAGTGTGTCTATGTTCTAGAATCTGTCGAAGAGTGAAGATATGATCTATGCACCCTCTACCTGGTCTAAAGCCTGCTTGATTTTCCCTTGTCTGTTCCTCCCGAGTTCTGCTTAGTCTATGCATGATTACTGAGCCTAGGATTTTAGAGACTATGTTCGTTAGGCTGATCCCCCTATGATTATCACACGAGGACTTGTTTCCCTTCTTGAATATCGGTATAATAAGTGACTTACCCCAGTCTGATGGTACTGTCTCTGATTCCCAGACTTTGCCTAGTACCTCAGTTAATCTACAAACTAGTATGTCACCCCCATATTTAAACACCTCCGGAATAATTCCGTCGGGTCCTGCCGCTTTGCCTCGTTTCAAATTACTGATAGCTTTTGTAACCTCACCTACAGACGGCGGACCAGTGTCTATATCCCATTCGGGTACGTGGTGGATGGCGGGGAGGTTCAGTGTGGCTGTAGGCAAGTTAAATTGTTCCTCAAAGTGTTCTTTCCAGCGTTCAAGGCGTCTATCCTGAGAGCTAATTAAGGAGCCATTTTTCTCAGAAATAGTCTCACTTATGAATTGCCTTCTCCCGCCCGATTCTGTGATGAGTCTAAAGAGTTGCCTAGTGTTGCCTATCGCCAATGCTTTTTCCATCTCTTTCGCCTTTGTCACCCACCACTGTTCACGGTCCTTGCGGAGACTTTTAGTAAGTTTCCTTTTGTGCAGCTTTCGCTCCTCATTGAATTCGGAGCTCGCCGGAATAAGTCTTCTAGCATCTATCAGTTCGGATGAGGCAGTCGAAATCCAGTGGTTTTTACTCACCTTTGGATTTGTCTTATTCACAGCTTTTACAGCTGTATCTATAGCTGACTGAATATTCTTCCAGGCTTCTCCAGGGTGAGCACAGCTGTCGATTCAGATATGCGTTTAGCTAGTTCTTCCTCAAATAGGGATTTAGTTTCCTGATCGAGCTGGGGGCGTGATGGTTTTACCGCCAGCTGTTTCCTACGTCCGTTCAGTCGTAAGCACACACGAGCCCGGACCAGTGCGTGATCGGTATCTACACACGTGTTCCAGAAGGAGCGACAATCTCCTACCGACCCACGCCAACGATAGCTTATTGCTATGTGGTCTATTTGTGTCCAGCGTTGGTTTGATGATGGGGGTCGCCAGGTTAAACAGTGTCTCTCCTTGTGTTTAAAGTTAGTGCTTACAAGAAACAAATGATTATCTGAACAGAACTGTAGGAGACGGTCACCGTTGTCGGTTCGCTGGCACGGAACTCCATAGGTGCCACCGACATCCTTCTCAGATTGACACAATTTCCCTACTTGAGCGTTGAAGTCACCAGCTAGAACGACTATATCTGAGCGTTTAGCCTTTCTCACCAAACTAGACAGCTTTTGGTAGAACTCATCCTTCGTTTCATCCGAACTGCAGTCAGTGGGGGCGTAGGCGGAGATTACGAAAAGGCATCGGCGAGTAGTGCAGTCCTTTCTCCTTCTTACTGATCCGTTCAGACGGACAGCACACATTCGGCTATCTACCGGGATCCAGTCAAGCAATGTCTTTTCTGCCCTAGTACTCAGAGCTATCCCTACGCCAGCTAATCCCCGTGAACTAGCTGTGGCATCTCCTGACACCCTCAAGGTGAATTTTGAAGATTCATCCTGTTGGCCAGGTGGGGTTAGGTGAATAACCACACTTGGGTCTTGTATGCGTGTTTCTGAAACACAACATACATCAATGGCTCGAGATGCCAGGGTCTTAGCTAGTGATGCTTGTTGTCCTATTTGGCAAAGTGTCCTTATCCTAAATGCAATTAAGCTAAAACTGCATTTTGTCCTTACTTAGAAAGACTAATAAAATAATGATGTTACCGGAAATTAGATGATGTGACTTAAGTGAAAAAAATGCACTCAGAAAGTAATCTGATCATGTAAATAAACATTAGTGCCACCATGGGACTGGCTAATCAAACAAGTTTGAATGCCCTTAGTGAAATTAATATATTACCTTAAACTAATGTGAAATTGTTTTCCGTCTTCCTGATTCTCAGTGCCAGTAAACACCCATTTGTAGTGTGATAGTCACACGCTATTTGGATGCATCGGTCGTGTTTAAAGTACATTGAGATGTATGAGAATGTCTAGTAAGTGAATATAAATCAACAGTAATTTCGATGCATTTAAGTCCAAAATAGGATGTATGCATTTTTGCTTACTAGGCGAATATAATTCAACTACAATTCCTAAACATTTAATGTGTCCTTAATTGGTACACATAGATATATGTATGTATTAACTAATCTACATTTTTAAGTAGCCAGTTAACTGACAACTGACAATGAATTCATTGACATGTGGGATTTGTGTATACTAGGTCAGCACAAATCAAGTAAATTTCCCTTCAAATGGCTGAGAGCGACAGTTTAAAGCATACTTTAGTTGGTTGTTTCGTGATGAGAGCGATTTGGAGTCAGATATAAATTACACCGATCTGTGTTTTATTTACTATGTTATTCAGCCGAGCATTTCTGGTTCATAGCATATCCTGAATAACGGCGATTAATACGATTTATCACTTACACCGCAGCACCACCAAGCTTACGACAATTCTAAACTTATTCTAACCTATTCCTCGATAATGCCTTTTTACAATAACTGAGGATCTTATTTAGCCACTATGTTCTTAAATGACACAGGTCGTGCTTAAAAAGAGAGCTGCGTGCCGCATTAAAACTTTGCTCTGAAGTAAGGCTAGTCCATGCTTAATATGTCCTGTGAGGGATGGAACAACGTTGATAAGTGAACCCAGTAGGTTCGATTTAGTGCCACTCATGCTGAAAAACCAGCGCAAGGTTTCACTGCCAAACAATGGCATAACAGTAAGGGAGTTTACTGTTACTATTATTAGCATACTATATGTTACTATATTAGTATAGCATATCCTAATTAGCTCAGTGATTGCGGGTTTCCCATAATCCTTGACTACCAACATAATAACTGGGAACTTCAGGTTAAAAATAAGCTAAATGGTAGCGTCCAGTGACAAAACTGACCTACACACTGCATAATTAGCAAAACACCCAGAAAAAACTTTAAAATTCAGTGGAAAACGAATTCACGAAGACGTGTAACTAGCCGACGCAGGAACTCATCATGACCTGGAAACTGACTGTAGCCTCCTTCCCTTTCCACTGTAATGCAATGGAAACTGATACAATGCCACTAAACAAGTTTCTTTTTTCTCTTTTTCAGAAAGAAACGGTGATGTGGCATCATTGGAGCAAGAGGAGGACCAGTTATCAAAGCTTGTTATAAATGATGATAACTAACTTGTACCCGGGTAATTTGAGTCTGGCTTCCTGTAAATAAACGCTTCCTCCGTACCGTCTTTGCCTTCTTCTCCACCCGTCGTGTTTGTGGTCTGTGTGCCTTACACCACAACGTGTTGATGTATTGTAACACGTCCCTCAAATATTTGTAGCATTCAAAGTCCAATAGTTTTTGGTGTGCCTTCCCCCCCCAAATAACATCTGTTGAAACTATTAGAAGATGAGGTAGCAAAGTAGGATGTTCTGTGATTCAAAATAGTAATCGTGTTTTGGATTAATATCGGACGTCCAGCTGTTATAATCTATGGTTATAGCTTTCATCTCATGGTGCATTGTAATATCTAGAAATCATAAGCACACTGTCTTCGGTAAATTTATTTTTACTTTCTAAGTGACTGCAAATATTGAGTCATTTGAGGTGATAGGATGAATGACTCTAAAGGCTTTTGTGGAGAGTCGGGTATATTTCGCTTTTTCGAGTAGGGGGACGATCTTTTCACCAAGAAAGTTCTCAGAATTTCCACATTTACTTCGTAATTCAAAGATAACATTAAGTTGCTCACTAAGGTAGGGGCTATAGGAGATTATTTTCAGTGAGAAATATTTTAAGATAGCTACGTAGCTTTAGGTAATGTGTCATAGAAGTGACCAGCGTAGGAAAATTGTGTCTAAATGTATTAAACTTTGTATAACTGGTCAAATTGTAGTCTTTTAAATAATGAATGTATCGTAAAAACGTTTACTTTGATTTGCATTCCTAGTTCATAAGCATTATACTTGCATGTGGTATACATTTAGGTCTATTGGGCTGTGTGATGAATTAGTCCGAGATGCTTAAAGTCAGACATGATTTATATGTCACTGTCATCAGTTTCGCGACAGTCATAGGGGTCAACAATTTCATCTGACTTTCTTTTACGTAGGAAACTGAAATTATTAGCCGGACATTTGGAAGGACTTAGTTAAAGAGCATTTTCTGGCTCCTGATAGAGAGCCGCGAATTAACAGACATTAGAATAGTTAGATCGTCCGCGTACTTGACAAATTTCATTTAGTATGCATGTGTACATTAAGTTTCTCAAACAAAAATGCAATTGGCGTTGAAGGACTTCCTCTAGCAAACGGTGTAGTGCTTTCTCCTTGATAAATAAGAATGAGGCCATTCAACAATCTAACATATAATTTGAGTTTCAGCAAGCTTATTTAACAAGATATCCCTAGGTACTGAGTCGAAGGTCGATGTGTAGTTTAGGGAGGTGTGGCGAACAAATTTAGCCCCCTTGTCTATACTGGGGACACTGTCGTGATGCAAGACTGCAGCTGCATCTAAAGTACCTTTACTATGTTTATAGGCGAATTGTTAGGAATCGTTAACGGCTTTAAGTGAAGGTTGAAGATTAATTAAAAGTAACTTTTCCATAGTTTTTAGAAATGGAGAGATGAAAGCAATAGGTCTAAATTTAAAACATATTCTAGTAGATGATATAGTAATAGGCACAGCTTTAATGTCCTACCAAATGGCTGGCACGAAATTTCTGGAAAAAGATTCATTAAATATGCCCATGAGAGGATAACACAGGATATCTGCACATTTTTTAAGAATAAGGCTAGGCAAACATTCTGGACCTACGCTACAAGAAGGGTTCAGTGACTGGAGCTATTTTAGAACATCATTTGTAAAGGAACCAGGGAAGCAACTCTTATTGACACTTGGGACACTAGAAACCTTGGCATATGTGGAAGACTTGTTTAGTGTACACGCATCAAACTAATAGGGAGTACTTTTGTAATACTGGAGATAATTACAGGCATAAAGGGGTGAGTTACTTAATATCCATAAAGTAGATATTCAGATACTGCAGTTGATCATAAAAAGGATGCATATTAGATGACATCATATGATTCAACGACGTATTATAAATAAACAATTGTTTCCTAGCTCATTGTCAAGTAAACGGTCTATCTGATGATGTCACTGTATATTCACAGACTAGTGAAGCAGCTATCAAGTTATTACATTTACTTGACTACATACTTGGTGTTTAACAGTATATAGACTTGCAACTGGCTAAATAAGGCGACTTTATCGTGTCGAACAGTACAGTATCAATCAGAATTATTATTCAGCTTGCTATATCCTGCTTAGTTTTTACAATGTGCTATTGTATAAAAGCAGACACGAAATCTTACGAATGACTAACGTAATAATCTCAATACTACAGTTAATATCCATTCCACTAACTAAGTTCAGCATTCATTAATCCGAATTAAAGTATTGCAAAGGCTCATAGTACAGAGACTCACTGAAGAAGTCCAGAAGAAGTGAAAATTAGGAGTATATCAAAACATTTTCTTAATTTATAGAGAAAATTTTGATGAACAGTATCAGCGTTAGATTGACCGAATGATCCTTCCGCTGATTTCATATTCGACAACCTCCGTATACCTGAAAACCATAAAGCACATGTAGGGACTAGCACAACATGAAGTTGTAAAAGATAATTCTACATATTAGTATTCACTATGAATACACTGACTCTGTTAATATTAAGTGAAATTCTCATGCAAATAAAATTACTTGTGTTCCACAGCTGATATTTATATTGACGCCGTATGCATAAACGGACCCCATATGTTTTCCAGTATAAGAGGATCATAGGCGAATTTCGAGATAATCTCTGTAACATCCACATTGTTGAGGCGTCTTTCTCTTATTAAGATTACTTGCAGATCAACTTCACACTAAATATGTTTACATTAAATGAAGTACTGCAAATGTGTAACTTGGAAATTGATCCACAATCTCAGTAATGTATAGTGGACAGGGTCTTATGAATCCTGCAAAAATTACATTCTCATATTTAGTAAACTATAGCCATCGAATATGAAGTACATAGGTCTCAACTCTAAACAGTTCTGCAGAGTATTAGGAGAATAGAGAAATACTTAAAATATTGTAAGATACACATACAACTTGTGCTGATGAAAATAACAATGCCATGTAATGCAACCTAGACATTAAATCGTGATGTCGCATCTGTACTTCTTCATGCTAATGAAAATTTCAGGAGAAATTCATCTCCATTATTGGTGACAAGTAACACCGAATCATGAACGTTAGGTATGCAATGTCTGTAGAAGTAGTTAAAAAAACAGTAGATCGAAAATAATAATAATAAAGCTGACTAGAATCAGTTCTCATAATCACCACGATTCATGTGCATAATCATAACATATACTGAATTAGTGCTTAAGTGAAACAGCAAGGAAATTTAAACGAGTAATTGCCTTCTTTACTGCACAGCACTTCCAATACTCATGAGAACGACCTACATTGGCTGTCCTAGCAGTCAGCTAAACAGACAGTGACACAATATTAATAAGGTTGAGATACGATTTATACACAGAACCAACAAAACCCATATTACACTGCACCAATCAGTGCAAATATAGATTAAATCCACTTAGAGATAACCTTTCAACTTACGATAATTCCTGTCCAAACACAGATAAGGTAAAAGACACATCTACGCGATAACTTCTGCTCCCACAGAAAGCTCTGTTAGCATTTATAGGTGATTTCCATATACTGATAGCATTCATTTTTCGAAAAGGACTGTTCTTCACACGAAAATAGGCTGCATTGATTGATATGCTGAGACGTGAAGTCTTCATTGAATTATACTATGCCGAAAGGTGCAGTCTCTACATGGAGTAAACGATTTGTGTAGATGAATTTACCCTCCGACTATCCTATCTTCCTCGTTATACCGATATTTTGACACCGTCCACCTGACACACTAATCATTGCGACCAATATGCTAAGAGTGTGTCGCAGTTAGGTCACATGATGCGGACACCGATGTGACTTGTCAGAAAATGGTAATTCCTTTCAACCCAGGAAACATAACACAATTCTATTAAAACTTATTCCCAAAATAATTTGCCAAGCGAAATTTCAACCAGGTGAGAAGGAACACGAATAGTCCTTTTTCAAATAACACAGTTTACAAATTCAAGACAGATAAAACGGATGATGACGTTATAAAATGTTTGTTACATCAGAATAGGGGTATTATTAGAATGTAACCATTGTTTAACCTTTCTTTTTTTGAGGCACCGATTAATAGATCTATTCAGGTTATTTCTCCCATTTTGTTCCCGAAAAATTTCTGCAAGCTAACGTCGCCTATTGTGTTTGGTCGCCTTTCAAAACTACTTTCACTCATTACTATCAACTCTGTCGCCAGTATCTAAAATCAAAACATTATGAAAGTAAAAATGCACACAGCGAAGTAATTCAGAACCATGTCTTTTAACGTATATAACTTCAAGCAGGTGGTTAGCACATGAATGGTTGATTACAGTAGTCTACTAGACACACATATAATATTATGCATGAAGTCTCGGTTTGCCATCCGCACAAGAAGATGCCTGGTAAAGAGTGAGAGTATAAAGATCCGAGGGTGAGAGATCACCAGTTAGTTTGAGCTCATACTGCTTATGTGACAACGTGACCTACCATCATTGTAGCCCCGCTGTGAAAGCTGTGAACGAAATGAGGTGAAGACTTCAGTCTGATATCTTTTTAACTGCTGTTTGAATGAAATGTTGGTGAATCATCAGGGTGGCGGCTAGGGTTGCCGGCAGGTTTACTGCAAGTTTAGAGTTCTAGTCATATTATGGGTTTAGATTAGGGTTTGGGTAATTCATTTTTTCTGTGGTGCGTTGGTGGCACAGCAGTAGAATGCTCGCCGACCACGCAGGTGGTTCGTGGTTCGATCCTCGACCGAAGAGCAACTTTACCTCACTGAGCCATTACTAGACTGGTGAAAGGGGAAGGTTGGACATGAGGCTAGCAACCCCACCCCAAAAAAGTAAACACCACTGCTACCGGAACTTCAAGCCTCTAGTTTGAAGTCCTATGTTCCATTTGGAACGTGGACAAATACAAAAATTTCATATCTACTTTCATAGTAAACATATGGCATTTTTATGTAAAATACACCGCTTACTCCGACTAGTTCTGCCAATGCAAGTCATGCGTTCGGGTTTCTTTGGACCATACTTTAACTTTGCCCAATGAGTTTATTACTGCATGGGCATGTGTATACCACGCTGCTTAAATGAACTGAATGGCTTGCCGGACACAGAT